ATCTATTTGATTTTAACCATTTTCTAAATTTAAAATCTTATAATTAGATATAAAAATAGATTTTGAGATAATCCTAAGAACATTTTACATCAAAATTATATGCCATGATAAAATTTGAAGGTGCATCTTACCTCTACAGCTACGGATGCATCCGTATGCCAACTGCACCCTTATGTGAAATATGAGTGACAAAAATTAAAAATCAAAGAGCGAGGAATACAGTGATAAAGATAGAGCGAGAGCTCAGCACCGGGGCAATTTGTGTTGGACACCATCTCTCTCTCCTTTTTCTGTCTCTAAATGGTTAATATTTATTATATTAATATATGTACAAACCAAAATCTATTGAAAAAGATATTTATCTCTGCACGGCGCGGGCACAATCCTGCATGAGTGGTTTGCGTGGCTACACGACCCGGCCGTAGAACCTGGCCACGGGCTTGGTCTGGGTAACTTGGTACCGGTTTGGGTAACAGGGCAGAGTGGGGCGTGTAAGGCCCTGGGACAAAAGTATTTAAAAAATAAAAAATACGAAAAAAAATCTTAAAAATATGTTTAAAGTAGAACTAAACGAAACACATCTTAATGAGATTAAAAATAAAGTGAAAAGTAGATTTTAAAAAATCAATTTTCAATAATTTTTTGTCTAGAGGTATTTTAAGTAATTAGTCAAAAGTAAAGTAGAAATTTCTAATAAAAACAAAAACATTTATTAATAATAGTGGACAATGCAATCACCAACATGATGTGTGACATCACCTACAAGATGCATTAATTGTTTTTTAACTACTAATAGAATGCTCCTATTTTTTTATATAAATATCCATTATACCCTTTTAAATGACAAAAAATGCTCCTATTTAAAAGGTTTTGTATTATAATTCAAGGGTATCTATATGTCCAAAAATATTGAAGACTTTAAGAGTATACACCACCTAGTGATGTAGTATAAAAAAACCCTTTAAAAATAATTTAAAATAGAAAAAAAATGTAAAAATAAGTATTTATAACCGAAATACTTTCCAATCTTCGTCAAAAAGATGAACAATATATAAATTATAAAAACACGTAACAAATAAATTTCTTATGAAAGAATATTTTTTACAACTTGGGAACTTGACTACCAAAATAGGGTTTAATTAGACCCGCCAATAGGGCGGTTATAGGTAACCCGGTATGGTGCGGTTTAACTTTAAGACTGGCCTGCATGATTAAGGTCAGCGTGAAAAATACGCCCATTATTTTATTTGCAGTTATCGATCAGATCTGACTTTGAAAGCTGATTCTCAGTTGGACTTATCCATTGAGGCTCTGCGTTAAATATGGGAAAGATCACCATTCCTTGCCGCCACTTTGAATAATCACTAATAGTTTCCACTCTTCCTAATGAACAGAGATAGAAAAAAAAAAAAAGGTGGGTCCAAATATTCAAGTAAATCCATGGAATTCTATCCATGATCCTAGAAGATCATTCACATATTCAGTTCTTCTTAACTCCGCAATGGTTTTGTACATATTTGGAGAAGTTACAACGAGAACACATGCTTCATTGAGCTGAGGGGGCATTTGGAGTGTATTTCGCAAGGGAAGTGTTTGGAGGGAAGGAATATCTTTGAAATAGATTTTAAAAAATTAACGAGTTGATTCAGAATCGCCCCCATCAATTCAATTCAGACGAGGGATCCTTAATTTCATATTTGCCTCAAATTAGGGAATAATCCTTAGTTGCTTAGAACCCTAGAGCTTATAATACCAAATCACAGCTGGTACTCGAGTATCATTTCTTGTTTTCATTATTTTTCCTTTTTTCTTATCAATGATTGATGGCAAAAGACCAAAATCGGAAAGCCCGAGAATCAACCACGCAACTTGGATCACTGGGTCCCCAAGTCAACACGCAAATTCTTATTTTCTAAAGGATGCCGTTTGAATAAGTCTGAAATCTTAAATAATCAAAGTGAGGTTGTTCATCTATTGATTTTAAGTTTTCACAGGTCCACAAGAAATGGGAATGGGAGTCCTTACAGAAGCGAGTAAAAGCGTGACAGAGACATTTGCTGATTTGAGTAAGAGGACACTATACGTCAATAATGACCTGCAGGTCCACATTATAACCATCACTATAAAACAAGATCCTTGATGAGTATGTCCTTCGCAAGTTGCTCGAAATTGAATTGCCACTACAGTTTGGAAGAGGGCCCACATCACTCATTTACCCCAAAGAAAAAAAAAAAGATAAAAGAAAACGCGCCACATTACATTACATGCTTATAATATGGGGGTGCGGTTTGTATAGAGCCGAGGTTCCAAAACAATCAAAGCAAAGCACACATTCAAATAGTTTCGAAAAATGTGGTTTCAATACTGGAAATCTTTGTGATGGCCTTAATATATATTTTCATCTTTAACTATAAATTTAAAGCTTCTAAAATAGTGTAGATCATACAAATCTATGAAAACGGGAAAATTGATAGTCTAAAAATGCATTACAAGATGCACTATTTTCAAACTTAAAATGTATTTTTTTCTCTTATCCATGCATCTTGAGGTTGAGATAATCAATTTGAAGATATTTAAGCTGCAAAACAGCTTTTTGTAGTGAAATTTTTTAGGTGGGCTCTAATTTGATTGTTTTGAGTCTCGGCTTTATATAAGCATTGTTTTATATTATTCAATAACATACTATGTCAGCTGAATACGTCTTTACACAAAAGGCCAACACTCCCCAATTGCTTCTTATTGAAGGAACCCATTTCCTTTTCTTTTTTTTTTTTGAAGGTCGTGGCTTTATTAGGGACTTTTTTTTTTTTTGGGTGAATGATCAAATCTCACAAGGAAATGACATTCAATGGGAAAAGCATCAACTTACATAATTCTAGATTTTAAAAAAGAAGATTCAAAGTCATAAACATGGTGCACCTCACGCTACATAGTATTGATTGTCTATTTGTAAGAGTCTGCAAACTCATTGGATCTGTTCAGTTTTGAAGCTTCAAACTTCAAAATCAAAGGCAAACATATATCTATAGCCACTTGCGGACCAGAAATGTGTTTCCGAATGGGGTTTCTAGGGCAGTTTTGCATCCTTCCTCTAATCAATGATTTTTAGACCCTATTTGAGGAGGTCGAGCTTTCAAAATCCAAGATTTGCCACCTGTTCAACGTTTAAAACTCATCAAATCTTGGAGTTTGCAAATTTAAAACTCTTAAAGTTCCTCCTACCCAAACAGACAATTGATTTACCACTTTAGAAACGCTCAATTGGGTTGTTATACCTTCTCTCTTTCTATATGTAAAGGTCAGTAACCTTGAAACATTTAGAAAGGAGAGCGACACAATACGTCATGCTTACTAGTAGATGAGCTGGGCTTCAAATCAACCATCATCTGTAGTGAATCAGAAGTGATATGGACGGTCGTCACAAGGGAAATCGCAATACCCATGGCAAAAATGTGAGCCCCACCTCTATGAACTGTCCGTCGTAATTGGTTATGTTGACCAGGGAGGGTCATCCAAAGTCGCTTGGACTCCCATTGGATGGCAAATCTAAAACAAAAATTAAAGTGTTGTCATATATCAATCACATTAATATTTAAATAATTTTAATTAATCAGAGTTATTATTTTTACAAAATTTGATATTTTTTTTCGGATTCCGTAATCACATAAGGAAATTACGATGGGGCATTCCGTGACTAAACATAATTGCTCATACGTATAAAGCTTACAAGGAGGGTCTACAGAGAGATCCCAGGTCACCACTATTCCCACTCCTTAGTAGGAGTTTATTTTTTTATTGATTTATTTATTATTATTATTGTCTTGGTACCTAATCAAATGCACTTTTATATAAACCAAATATTGAATTTTCTGTCTTGTAATATACAAGTTATGATGTTTAGTTATTTTATGAGATTACTGAGATTTGTTTTTAAAAGACAACAATTATAATTCTATAAATTACTGATAAATCATAATAATTCATCATGAAAGCGATACTTATTTACCTTCCATATACGCTTGCACTATTGCTGAATCACGTATATACGGGCTTTTTCTACTTCACTCATTATATTTCTCTTATTGCAAATTCTACGAAAAGCTCCTTATAAAAGAGTCATTGCCATTAAGTCATCGTGTGATAATCGTCATACATGGATGTGAACGTCTACATTATTTTACATATTGATAGAAGCCTAATTTTAGGCCAATTATTCTTACCATATGATGAGGAATGCTGGGATGGGAGTGCTCTACCCAGCAGTTGGGACACGTGTCACAATCCCATATGTGTTAACCCAAACCCTAACCCTGTTGCAACGAAAATCCCTGGTGACAGGAGTCCCTTCTTTCACGATCACTGTATCCACCGTTGGATTCTCTCTCTCGATTATTGTCGCTGCATCTACACCGTTGGCTCCCTTCAACTCCGGCCATGAGCTCTTTCCTAAAACACCTAACAATAATTCAAATTTCTGACTATTTAAAAGCTAGACCAATGTTCGATTGAACACGGCCGGAGTTGGCCAAGCGCTCAACCCAAGCTGTCAAGCTTAAAAAGTAAAAAAAATTAAAATTGCAAAAAATTAAGAAATGTGTTTAAAATAAATTAAACAAAACACATATAAATGAAGTGAGAAAAAATAATAAAAATATATATTTTAAAAAAAAGCAATGATTTTATGTAACGGCTGTATCATAATATAATGCAACCACATTAAAAAAAACATATTAAAGATAATTGTTTGACACAATTTTTAAGATGTACACTCTTTTCATTCTAAAGAATAACCACAAAAAAAAAATTTAGAAAAAAAAATTCCTAACAAGAGTTTTTTTAGCCCAATTAATATAAGCCATCCATTTTAGTAAGAAGGTTAGATATAGGCCTGAAAAAGATTTTTTTATTCCCAAAGTTTTTATACAGTATTATCTTCATTAGATTAACGATGTTAGAAAAAAGAAAAAAATGATTTTGAATCTGTCAAGGCCTAGATCTTGAAATTCACTGAATGGACAGTCTAGGTTCATTGTTGGAGGGTACTAATTTTGACCATATCTAGAGTGGAAATTTAATTTTTTTTATAAGATTGATTATGAGGATGAAGAGAATGGATGTGCAAAATTTAGAGTCATACAAATATCACAAACATGATTTTCTATTATATTGCATTATATTGTGATAGAACCGTTGCAGCATGAAATCATTGCTCTTTAAAACCAGAATTTAGAACCGGTAGTATTTTTTAAATACTCGAGAAATAAAAGGGAAACCGTAAAAATACGTATTCATTGCTAAAATATTTTCCAATCTTGCCAAAACGATAGAACACATAAAAAAATATATTACAAATAAATTTTTATTTTTATTATATATTTTATAAACAAAAAATTAAATTTTTTTCAAGATCCCTGAATTGGGTGTCCAACTCGGGGATACTCGGGTTCGGCAAGCCCCCAAGTAGGTCTAACAATGCTAAACTACATTTCCCTTTTGCTAACCGTGTAAATGAAGTGGTATGGTAGAAGTTCAGATAGGGAGGTATTTTTCACTATGCTTGGTGAAAGGATTGGAATGGAGTAGAGTAATTTTTCGGTAGAAAATGAATACCAAAATGAAAGGACGAATGATTTTTCCAGTCAAATCTTTTACTTGCTTCGAGGGAACATGCATGCAGGCTGTTAATATTCAAGGAAAAGCCACCCAGGAAATCTAAAGCGCTCTGAGCTTGCATATCAGGGAAAGGGGACCATACCTTCGCACTTGCCCATTTCTCTTTCCCTTCTCCCCGTCTTTCTCTCTCTCTCTCTCTCTCTAATGCAGGAGGACAGAGATATATGGAGTTTGTGCGTGCATGTGGTAAAGTAGATTTACAGTGGTGTTTGAATTTCCTTTGGCCTGCACCTCATTGACTTGAGCGGCTGCACATCATTGCCTTGAGCCCCCATCTTTGAATACGGCTTGCCTGTTTCACATTCTCAAGAAGATAGTTGTCAGATGCAATATTGTAAGGGATATAATACAATTCGACATTTTAAAATAGTAAAATACAGTACGAAATTGACCTTCAATATAGACTAAATTAATAAGGAAGTTTTTCCTATGCACCTGCAGTGTAGGTACGAAAAAATCGAATCAGAACGGTTCGCTGGATGTCGGCTTTCAAACGGTTCAACCAGTTTAATCGGAAAGTCTTGTGCAGTATAAAAATTGAAAAAAAAAATTTAATAAAATAAAAAATATATATTTAAAAAATATATATACAAAGCATATCAAAAAAAAATTGAAAATTATTGAAAAACATGGATTTTAAAAAAATGATTTGTGCCTGAGGATATTTCTTGAATTTTTTCTAAAAAAGATAGAAAAATGTAAAAATAAGTATTACAAGATAAAACAATTTTCAATTTTTACTATAATGATAAAAATATTTTTTAAATATATTACAAATATAATCCTTTATATTTTTGGCATAAACCTATTGAGATTGTACATAGTAAAATCATTTACATTTGATACAATGTGGCAATCATTTGATGTGAAATTTGATAGTTTGGATGTGTCAGAAAGTTCAAAAAAATTTCTTTCAAATCTGAGTTTGGTCGGTGGTATAATTGTAACCACCCAATTTCACATTCAATGGTCATGACTAATGTGACCACCTTGTATAAAAGGTAAATGATCTCATTATATAATTTTCCAAACCTATTTTTCATAGTTTTTCTTTTAATTTTTACTTTTTAAATGCACTAGCTATAAATCAATTTCTCTAAATTGATTTATTATTTAGAGCGACTCTGCCAAGACCAATAAGACTCGGTTGCGTAACTCGCCTTGGCCAGAGGCCTAGTCCCATATCCGGTGTGAGTTCCCGATCATTGTAGAGATTAGCCATGGCCCGGTCATCGTTTATTACTAGGAACAATCATTTCAGTGTTCCAACGAAAACGAACGATGGCTTCCATTTTTTTGACAAAAACGGTGGGTGCTTCCATTATGTACCAAGCACCATGAATCACCATTGGTTTATTCTCGGTTTCCAACCGTTTTGCCATTTATTGGGATCCTTAGGGTTCGGGACATGATACAAACCAGAGTTCTAGGATTCAATTAAGCTAGCCTATCCAATTTGTAGAAAATTCAGGGTGACCTCTTTTCAATCCAAAATTTTATTTTATTTTTTTTCCGTAGATATTTCTCTTTCAAATAAAATTTATTAGAAAATAGACTCATAATAGAAGTCTAAAAATTTAGTGTGGATCATAAAACATTATATTAAATATAAAAATAAAATCATGACTTCCAAGTCATGGAAATAGTTTTTGTTGCAGAAAATAGCACTTACTCACCCTTCAATAAATTGATCATATCTTTCAAACTACAATGAATTTCTTCATGAAACTTTTTTTTCCTTGAAAGAAAACTCAATTTTGTGAGTTATAGAAAAATTTCAGCAATAAATAAAATCATATGTTTGGTGGGAAAAATCACGGAACTCAATAGACAGTTCCTTGATTTTACAGGATCAGAACTGACACTCTTCATTGATGATTCCATAACTCTCAATTCCCTTAGGATATCTTACAAAACTTTTTCCGGTAGATCCTACTCTTAAAGACACAAAATATCACTGCAGTATGTAATAGGAAAATACCTCATTATATTCTTCATATCACTACTCCAAAATAACCCAAAATACTCTTTATGCAGAGTGCCTTTTCGGTGTTGGAATATTTCAATAATTCTTAACCGTGAGTGTATTTCTTGACCTCAAAAGTCATTACCTTTCTTATATCTCATTCCTATGCTTGATATAAACTCAATAAATAGAAAAGATAACTAATAACATCAAATATCAATAACTCTGATACCAAAAGAAATACCTATGTAATCTTTTGCCGGGGAATTTTTTTTTTTTTTTTCTTCACCCCTTTTTTTTGGAAAAATATCACTTACATGTGGTCTTTATTATAATAAGATAAATTTAAAAATAAAATCAGTATAACAATAAAACCAAGATCTTAACAACTTGATGTCATTGAAACAACTATGCATTTGCTTAAGAATAAAAGATAAGATTGCAAGAAACAAAAGGAAGAGTGTCGGATATTACCTCAACCGAGTTTATTACACCCCACACCGAGTCACCACCATCCGATGAAGCGGGATCAACGATCTAGCTTCAATCTCGAACTAGAAAAGTAAATTTTGGCCAAGCTACACCAATAGAACATGAACCCCTTTGATCACAAACTCAAACCCTAGGTGAATTTTCTTAGCAACATAGTTTGAGAGAGGTGAATTCTCTTTTGTTAAACCCTACAACCATTAGCCATAAATCCATATTTGAGAGATAGGGATAAGTACTCTATAACTTAAACTCTTAAGTTCTTTCACAACGTGGGAGAGAGAGATCAAGTATGAGAGAGATTAACTTTATGAAGAGGGAGATAGAAAGGTAAGGTGTAGAGATTTTTTTATAGAAACAATCCATTTTTATAGGTTTTGAATAAGATTAAGATTTTCTTTTTCTTGCATCTTCCTGTGAGATTGAACATAGAACATCGATCAAAGGTGACTTGTGGGATGAGAGATCTGAGCCATCCTTTTCATAAATGGGCCATCAACATTGTGGAAGGTGCATGAACTATAATCCCCCTTTTCTAAACCATTTTCTCATCAATAGAAAATAAATCTAATCAAAATATTGTGCATACCATAAAATAACACAAGTCTACTCGATCTTTCTACAAAATCTTTCAAATATATGTCAAGTCAATATTTAGTCAATATCTTCCAACCATATGGCCACATGCCATATCACTAAAAAAATAGGAAAGAGAATAATGTCATATCACCAAAAAATAGGAAAAAGAATAAAGGTGAGGCGTGCCACCCAAGGGAGGCACTCATGGGCCTCACCTTCTTAAAATATGGCGGGCCCATGTACACAATGGGCCTCCATGATATTTTTATATATTTAAAATTAATAAAAATATTTTTAAATATTATTTGAATATTTAAACAATTGTAATATCAATATTTTTAATTTTATAAATCAAAAAATTATAAATAAAATATCGAGGGTTTCATAAAAATTCAAATAATAATATTAGAATAATTTCCATTATAAAACAAAAAAAATTAAATTAATTAATTTGAAGGGAAAATGATCCATATGGTTTAGGAATCAACAATAATGGGGCGCTCCACCTTCAATTGTGGACTACAGACCACACTTACTTTATCAGACCGACCCAGTGTTTCACATGACCCACAATTCAAGCAGGAGCTCATTAGTGGGTCACCAAAGTCTGACCGATGAGCCAAAGGATCACAATCCTAGTCTGTAGATTTCAGGTCCTCCCCTAGAGACAAGTCAACGTCACCTAGACCTGATGCGACAATAGCTCCTATGGTGCATAGCGGTATATCTCGTACATACATACGCTTCCTTTTAAATGGTAGATTTCTAGCTTTTTCGAACTATCTATTGATATACATGCCGTGTGATGGCACATGGATGAGGTTTTGGCCCCCGTCTCTGTAGGCCACTATCACACACAAGGTTCATACAGTCATCCGGCTTACTCATCCGGGCATATTCTCCAACCTCATTAAAGGCTAACCCATTATAACCATTCTCGGTTTGTTTTTTATGCCCAGGTAATATGAGTTTTTTCCAACCGATTTACCTAGATTGTCAAACACAGTCCGGTATCTGCAAATATTGTTTGCTTAGGATAGCCCACAAGGGACCATACTCCCACTGAGTTTATGTTCCACTCTATCATTTCATTTTACAAGTACTCGTAAGGCTTTTAAATACCACATGAACCCAACAATCTTGTACAAAGTAAACATCATTGATTAATAATTTTTTTTTTTTAAAATCAATTCTTGACGTGATTTGACAGATAAAGATGGTTACGTGGTCCAAAAAGTGTAAAGCATCCATTTTAAAAATGGATGCAAGTAGGTGTTCCATCTAAAAACAATAGAAACTAATGGTCCAATTTTTTTTACTAGAATTATTATTTTTAGTTTTCTACATTTATTAAATTTTTCATATTCATGATTTTCATGACAGAGATTATATTTTTTTAAAAATTAAGTCTTAAAATCCAACTCAAAAATAGATTTATGAAAAAAACCCGCATTTTTACATGTGCGGGCTTGACCGCATAGAAATCAGGTCCTTTTATTTGTCTTGAACGTGGTTGGAAACATTTGTTTTTATAGATTTCATATCTGTTTTTTAGACTTATTATCATTATTTTCTATATTTTTAAATATGGTTAGAATTCCAGCATAACCAATTTAAACTTCACCAAACATCACACTAATTTTGTGGCGAGTCCGATTCTGATAATTGAAGGAATTAAAATCATGTTCATTATACACCATTTAGTTGTTTCTAAAAAATTATACAAGAACGTCATAATTATTATTAACCATTTGGTCAAAAGTCCACTCTTTAGAGATGTGCTGTTGACCACGTACATGATCTACATTGAGCTTTTCCAAATTTTGGAGCAGATCTCTAGTCACCGATCTCACGTAGGATCAGGGTGAATTATGTGCTTCTCTCGTGACATTTACAGTTACATAATGCGCAATACATTTATTTAGGGTATGGTTTACTTTTCAGTGAGAGACTTGGACTTCTCCACTTGTTACGTACAGTTGTTAAGTAGGGTTCGAGGTTAACTATATAAAGTACTGGAACATCGGCCTTTTCGTTTATTTTTTTGTTCTTCCCGAAACGGTATATACTAAAACTATTTAGCTAAAGTATAAGGTGATCAAAATTAATCTTGGCCATTGAATATAAAATTGAGTGGCTGTATTTATTCCATTGACCAAAATATATAATGAGACCATTTACCTTTGTACAATGAGCTTACAATTAGTCAAAATGATATAAAATATAATTAAACATGTTATAAAATTATTTCTTAGTTTTTTATAATCTTTTATATAATTTTCAAAAATTTTGCTAAGATCCCCGAGTTGGACTTCCAAGCTCGGCAACAACTAAAAGTCCGAATAACTCGGCCAAGTAGAAACTATCGACTGACTTTTCGATTACTGGTTTGAGCAACACCGACACTTTCTTAGCCCTAAGTCTTTTTAACCCCAAGGCTAGTTGCAATAATAAGAGATAAGAAGGAACACCAAACCAGGCTCGCACGTTGTCAGCAAAGGCAAGCTGCGGTTCATGCGGTTCAAGTAGTAAGGTATTTCTGACTTATTTTTATTTTATTTAATTTCATAACACAGTCATGAATTAGAGTAGTTAATATTTTATTTATACTTCATAAATTAGTAAAATATAAAATAAATGATAGTCTGATGCCCATTAGGTAAGGAAAAAGTTTATATAAGAATGCAACATTATAATGTAGAACTATGGAGGCACCTAATAAATCATCAAAAAAGGTAGTTTGAATGTTGAAAAGCCCTTTGAATGATCATGTCGATATCGAGATGTATGACCGTAAAAAAAAAAAGATTTTAAGTCTAAAAAATAGTGCATTTTGCAACATATTATCTACACCGTCCATTTTCAAGATTTTCATATATTTATAGATCTACTTGATTTTAACATTTTTTGAAATTTAAAATTATATAATTAGATTTAAAAATAGATTTTGAGATAATCCTAAGAACATTTTACATCAAAATTATATACCATGATAAAATTTAAAGGTGCACCTTACCTCTACAGCTACGGATGCATCCGTATGGCAACTGCACTCATAAAATAATGGGCGTATTTTTACACTGAACTTAATCATGCAGGCCAGTGTGAGACAAACACGCTAGCTTCAACCAGACCATATTGAGTTACCTATAACCGGCCCACGAGCGGGTCTAGTTAAACCTTATATTGGTAGTCATGCTCCCAAGTTTAAAAAATATTCATAAGAAATTATTAAAAATCCAAAAAATAAGGAATTTATTTGTAACGTGTCTTTATAGTTTATATATTGTTCATCATTTTGACAAAGATTGGAAAATATTTTGGCTATAAATATTTATTTTTACATTTGTTTCTTCTATTTTAGATTTTTTTGAAGGGTTTTGTTACACTACATCACTTGGTGACGTATAACTTAAAGTCCTCAACATTTTTTGACATATAGATACTATTGAATTGTAATACAATTTTTTTAAAATAAGGGCATTTTTTTATCATTTACAAGGGTAAAATAGATATTTATATAAAACAATAGGGACATTCTAGTAGTAGTTAAAAAACAATTAATACATTTTGTAGGTGATGCCACACATCATGTCGATGATGTCATTGTCTACTATTATTAATAAATGATTTTATTTTTATTAAAAAAATTTATTTTACTCTTGACTAATTACTTAAAATACCCCTAGACAAAAAGTTACTACACTATATAATAAGGGTATCTAAGTGTTTAAAAATCTTGTACCACCAAGTATTATAGCCTAACAAAACCTATTTTTAAAAAGGATTGTATATAATGAGACAATTTACCTTTGATACAAAGTGATCACAATTCTTTACAACTATTTGTGAAATTTGATATATTTGGATGTGTCACAAAGTTTGAAAAAATTTATTTTAAAGTTTGAGTTTGGTCATTGGAATAATTACAGCCACTCAATTTCACATCCAATGATCACGATTAATGTGACCACCTTGTATAAAAAGTAAATGATCTCATTATATACTTTTCCTTTTTAAAATATCTCAGTTACAAATTGATTTTTCAAAATTGATTTTTCACTTTATTTTTAATCTCATTGAGATGTGTTTTGTTTAATTTTACTTTAAATATATTTTAAAGATTTTTTTCTTATTTTTTATTTTTTAAACACTTTTTTTCCCATTGCCTAACATTCCCTACTACGGCCTGATGCCCAAACCAGTTCCAAGTTACTTAGACCAAACCACGGGCAAGGTTCTACCGCCGGGACGTGTAGTCGTGCAAACCCAAACTCATGCAGGATCGTACCGGCAGCGTGCAGAGAGAAATATCTTCTTCAATAGATTTTGGTTCGTACATATATTAATATAATAAATGCGTGTCGGTGAGCGATCGGCCTTTGTTTGAAAATAGTGCAATGGATGACAATTCAATGTTCAAATGAGGATGACTTTTTTTTTTTGATAAAAAAAAAAAATTCAAGTGAGGATGACTTAAAAGCCCAAATCAAAGCCAAACGTCTCTATAAATGCTATTGCAATCATCTCTCTGAATACCATTGCAGCCATTCATCTTCAACTAACGCAAAGAGACAGAAAAAGGAGATAGGGATGGCTTCCGAATCACATTGCCCCGGCGGTATGAGCTCTCGCTCTCTTTTTATCACTCGCCCTTTTATGGTTAATTTGAAACTTCATGAGAATGGAACTCGTGATATCTTGTGGTACCCAATACTCTAATCATCTCTGTTTTGAGCTTACATTCTTTTACTCTCTCACTCATATTTCACCCAATTGGGTGCTGTCTCATACACACCTGTTTAGAAGGGCACACGCTTTCTTTATGCGCACGCGCGGTTACACAGGCATTCTCTCTCCCCACACACACACACACTCTCCCCTGTAGCATCATAGGCCCATTTATCTGCCTTCATAGTCCACTTGGGGAAAAATGATCGTTTTGGTTCACTTTAGCTTGACAATGAAGCCATTCTTAGTAAGTAGCCAACACCGAGCATTAGATACAGAGAAAAGACAGGGACAAGGATTTATTGCTCGCTTTGAATAAATAATGAAAAGCCCCTACGACCAATGCTGTAGTCTTGTAGAGTGAGAATACCATTATGACAGGAAAATGTGATTTTTTTTATTTATTTTTCTTTTCCTTTTCAGACGATGCTTTCCACTGTCAAATATCATGCGTAGCATAGTAGTTAAATGCAATGATTTAAAAAACGAATCGGCCAGGCACTTTGGCGGTTTGAATTACCCTTTTAATTTACGGTGCGGGATTGCGTGTTCGTTCTTGAACTCGGCCATATATATATATATATATATATATATAATAAACACGATTCTTAGATCGGATCGGACAATTACGCGCCAAACCAGTATTTTTTAAATTACTATTAAAATGGGATTATGTGTTTATTGGAACGTGATTTGGATGAATGTGACAGGGAAGAGATCGTGGCCTGAATTGGTTGGAATGAACGGTGTAGATGCAGCGGCGATTATCAGAAGAGAAAATCCAGAGGTGCGCACGTCGATTGTGCCCTCAGATAGGGCCATCGCTACACTTTTTAAGTGCGATAGGGTGGTGGTTTGGGTTGATGAGTATGGCAACGTGAGGCAAACCCCTGTCATTGGATAGTTCAATTATATCATCACCTCCGTCCTCAAAGTAACTGGATTTTGGCTCTCTCTCTCTCTCTCTCTCTCTCTAGGTCGCCTGTGTCTCCTTATCACTCTGTACGTCTCTCCTTCTCCCTCTTTCATTCACTAAAATATGTGCCTCTTTCTCTCACTAAAATAAATGGATGTTTGGTCCAAAATCCTTTCTCTCTCTCTGTCTCCGTCTCCCCTCTCATTATTAGTCCTCTAAAACAAGTGGATGCTAGGTTTATTTATTGTAATAATTCGGAGCCGTGCACATTATACGCATTATAGAAAGATTCGAGCACCGTTGTTTCTGTCCAAATTTCTCTGTAATGTTATTTGAGATTAATAAGTGGTATGTTAAATGACTTCCTACTTTTTCTTCACATATTTTCACTTCTCTAACATGTTCTATTTCGCTATGAATTCAAGAGGGGTCAAACAGTGAGAAAAAAAAAAAATAGTCTCGCAGGGATCAATAAAATAGTGTAAAATCAACAAAATTTCGAAATGATTTAGAAAGAGTCAATCACAGGGAGAGAAGGAGGAGAAAAACAAAGTCCAAGTTAGCTTTCAAGAAAGAGAAAAATAACAAATGAAACAGCACAAACGCATCTATATACACCAATTATTTTTATTTTTTTTAGGTAATTCGGTTGGGATAATGGTCCCTACCCGTTTTTTTAAATTGTTAGTAGTTTTTGAACGTGTAAAGTGAGAATAAAAGCCTAAACCGTTTTTTAAAATCGTTAATAGTTTTTTAATATGTAAAGTCAAATTAAAAGCCTAAACTTTAGTTGGGATACGTGTTACCAATTTTAAAAAAATTAAAAAGTTAAAAAATCGCTTAAAATATGCTCCACTTTTGAAGAACTTTTAAAAATGGGAAAAAGTTTATATAAGGTTGCAAGAACTTTTAAAAATGAGAAAAAATTTATATAAGGTTGCAGCCTTAAAATGTAGAATTACAAATGAAAAACTAATGAAAACATTGAGGCAATTTTGATGCCTTAAAGCTTGAGGGTGGTGCCTTAAAGCATGAGGCATTGTCATAGTAATGAAAAAAAAAAAAATTACTTGAATAAAAAATAATTAAAATTTGGATTGGTTGAAAGGTAATTTTGTAGAAAAATAAAAAAAAAGGTTGACTGACTTTCTTTTGTAAATTCGGCATATAAATAGAGCATTTTGTATTTTATTTATAATTTTATTGTCTGTACGTAAATTATTCAAACAAAAAGAAAAAAAAAAAAAGCTGCAACTTCTATTCCCCAGACATGTTCTGATATCTTATATCTCAAGTATTCTTTTGCCTTCATTTTTGCATCCCAGGTCCTTTCTCACCATCTCCCTAACTTTTTTTAATTTCTTTGTCTCTAACCATGACTTTTCTCTTTCCAAACCCTCTTCTTTCTTGTCATGTCTTTTCCATCTCAAACTCCTCTCTCTAACCTTACCCTCTTTTTTGTAATTGTGTTATTTTTCTCTCTGACTCCTTCCCATTTATCATCAGCATAAGAAGAATCTGAATCATCTTTAGCGGTTAAATGTAAAATTCAAAAAAATTCAAAAAATAAAACATGTCATGTTTCGGTTTGGATTTTTTTTTAATATTTTTTGAACACCACTAGTAGTACACCCCTGGCTAATTTAGCTCTGGACTCATCTTTAAATCTTCTTTGAGGTCAATTTGAAAAATAACTACATCGGAACTACATAAAAAATAAAAAAAAATCCGAGTTACACACGCGACCTTCTATTTGATGGCTAAACAAACTCAATTTTTACGGGACTACCAAAAGAACAACGGATAGTATAGAGTCTCACATGATGTGGACCATTGAATCATGCATAAACACTCTTCCATAGTTCAGATTGAACATAGTATTTTTTTTTCATGGCTCAAAAAGAATTTCAAATGTTATTTTTATTTTTAATTTAAAAATAGTTATCTAAAAAAAGTATAATTTTGTTTTTATATAGAAATGTAAAATAGGAAAATAAAAAATATTTTCAACGAAAAGTTGACCAAAATGCTTCGCAAACAATTTAAAGATATTTTGGTACAAAAAAAATATATTTATTATTTTTATTTGATTCACCATTTATTACCTATTCTTTAGATAAGTACCATCTTAAACAAAAATTAAAAAATATATATATACAAATCTCTTTTGTGGCCATTGGATGCGTCCTTGTTTAATTTGAGCCCTTGAGAAAAACGCGTGTACGCCCTTCACACATCGCTGGAAGACTTTGGCAGATAACATAAAAACGATTTGGAAAGTTTCACGTCAAAGAACTCCCTTTTTTTTCAGCAGAACCATATTACATGTTGGTCCCTTTGGACTACCATAGAGGTCTCCTGTAAACAATGAAGAAGGTAAAATGAAAAGGAAAATGATATTTATGCACTGTGCAGGCAACGGAAGCATGGTCATCTCTCTCTGTCTCTTGTTTTTCACAAGATGTTCCTCTCTCTCTCTCGCTCATGCACGTTGCAATGATAATGGAATCCTTTTACCTGACATGTCAATATGCTCAATCTCCTCTTTCTTTTTCTAAATCCTTGTGATGCAGGAGGCAAATACTCACTCAAGTTCACAAGAGAACCCTCCACGGTGCACGACATGAGATCTCGTGTTGGCTTAGGGAGTTTAGAACCATGGTTTTTATGATATTGTCCGAGTTTTCCCTCGTAAAAGTTTGTTTGGATCTGGCATAAAGCGGTTAAATCAACAGCGTAACGATTAGTTTTCTTGGTTTGGGTTAGATAGTAAACAAAAAGAATGGTTGGCATCCTTACGTGTACAAGTAAGTTGGTTATGTTCAATAACATTTATTTTTGTTGGATGATATAGATTTTACAAATAATGCTACATAGATTTATTAAGGCATTGCTCTGTGGTATGTAGTATGGGCCGCACGTCTTTAACTACGCTACAGTATGAGCTGCACCTCTTTAACTACAGCCCTCAATATTTGAATACTCATTGAGTGGTCCTTCTTCACTACGGAACGTGAAAAGATAACATTTCCAACCCGCATTTGATCTTATCACTCATTATTAAAAAATTTGCCTCTTTGAATCTCAAGGCATATTCTTGTAGAAGAATACAAACAAGTTAACAAACCATTCAAAGCATAGTGATGCCTCATGGGAGATTATCTTTGGCGAATTTGAACAAGTATTAATGGGATTAAGTGCTCATAATCCTCCCAAAACGAGCAACATATCTTTCTTCAAGAAATAAACTATGAGCAGGTATACTATGCTCCGTGGCAGCAAAATGTGCACCTACTCCCTCGGCAAGAAATAAATTATGAGCATGTATACCATGCTACCGTGGCAGCAAAATGTGCACCTACTCCCTCGGGTGGAAGACTTATTTGGGATGATTTTTCTTTATTTGAAATTTTAGGAACAACCTAAGAATCACTAGATGACTATTTTTAGAAGAAAAAAAAATTGGAATTGCACATTTTTTAACACTTAAATCTCTCCCTCCAATAGTCGCGATAGAGCTTGAAGGTTCACATTTGAGATGGTATTTATAATGTCAATTGAATTGTTGTAATTCTTGGTAGTATGATCAAATTAATTGAACAAACGAATGGAATCTATTCTTGAGTTGATTTCCTAGACTTGATTAGGGCAATTTCGGAGGAAGACCCGACCCGAGACAACAATTTGATGTCCCGTTTGGAATAAAAAATCTGAATACAACTCAAGGTATGTGGGTTGTTTGTGAATGTGGAATTTGTTAAATTACACTACGCAAATGCACGCTCAACCATTTCAAAAAATTGATTTGGTTAACGGAAAAAGTTTGTATAAGGTTGCAACCTTAAAATGTAGAATTAAAGATGTACCTAAATAATCAATCGAAAAAAGGTTATTTTCATATTGAAATATCCTCTAATTGATCATCTCGACATCAATATGTATGAATATGGGGGAAAAAAAGAATTTGAGTCCTAGAAATAGTGCATCTTGCAATACATTATCTAGATCGTCCATTTTCAAGATTTTTATATATTTATAGATCTATCTGATTTTAATTATTTTTGGAATTTAAAATTTTATAATTAGATATGAAAATATATTTTGAGATAATCTTAATAATGTTTTACACCAAAATTACATTTCATGATAAAATTTGGAGTCGTGCTGTAATTGGATTGTTTAAGGTTTGAACCTTGTAGAAACCACACCCTTGATTAAATATCACATTCAATATCCAAAATAAAACTTTTTGACTGTTCTGACAAACTTCAATCTATTAAATATCACATTCAATAGCTAAGAATGATTGTGACCTCCGTGTACCAAAGATAAATAGTCTCATTGTATATTATCTCATGAGATATTTGGATAATATTTCACTAAATCATATTGGTATCTTTAGATAGCATATTCTACTAAGGGTGATATTTGTATAGCCCACTTTATACAAGTAAGTCACACCTCTAAATTTTGCTTGAAGACATAGGTCCGGTGTCAGAAATTTAACCTTAATTGTAAATTTTAAATTCTAAAAATTGTGTAAATCGAACATACATATAAACACTTGAAAATCTTGAAAACAGATGGTCCAAATAATTTATTATAAGCTGCACTATTTTCAAGAATTGAATTTTTCTCGAGGTCGATATTATGAATTGAAAGGTTTTCTAACTTTGGAATACTCTTTTCTACTAGATTTTTAGGATGCACTTTACTTCTATAGTATAAGATTGTAACCTTACATAAACTTTTTCCTTCTAGTAATGTTACATTGCACACAAGATACTTTTGAATGTTTGAACGCTACGTACTATTTCGCCCAAAATGCCTTATAAGATATTGGTAATTTTTCTACAAAATTGCTTACGAATGAGGTCATCAAGTGCCCTTTTGACATATTGGCGGAAAATATACCCTTACCTCATGAGCGCTAGTATTTCACTAACCCCCTATGTTAAGTCCTCTCTTACGAATTGTGCATCTATTTGTAAAGACATTGAAGCCTAATTTTTTATTTTTTAAAAAAATTATAAGAAATCAGACCAACTTTAATTCAAAATTTAAGTAATCAGACCAACTTTTAATTCAATTGAACCCGTGGCCGTTCAGTGTCCTGTCCTATTTCGTAAGCACATGCACATGCGTTGTAATGGCAGATGTAAATCCAATTCGTAAGACACGGTGGTCCATGGTTCACAATAAGCATTAAATAGTCACCATATATTGACAATGTTCACCATTATTTGCATAGACACACATATATGCAAATGGTAAGCTCTTATTTCATACACACATATCACCATCTTTATTAGTTTCTTAGCCTATAGAGGGCACACGTGTCACAACCTCATTCATCTACCCAAACCCGAACCCTGTCACACCGAAATAAGTGATCAACGATGGTGCCTTCGGTCACGACTATGGCTTTCACAGAACAATTCTCCTCCTCGATAGTCGTCGCTGCATCCTGACCGTTGCTTCCCACCAACTCCGGCCATGACCTCTTCCCTGCAGATTAAGTCCATTTACGTGCACCTAAGTTACTATACAAAATCACATACATAAAGCTAAGTTTTGTTCTGATTTATATGTGTTTTGGCTCATTCGGAAAGACGGCCACTTCATTTCATAGTTGTAGTTTGTCATGTTGAACAAGCAAATGATAAAATAAACTTCTTTTTTTTTTTTTTTCTTCTGGACTCCAAAAACTCTCAACTCATCTTTAAATCATCTTGAGGTCAATTTGATAGATTAGTACTTTGTAGTTAAAAAATTAAAAAAAAACCTGTTTGATTGGGCCATTGAATGTGCCCTTGTTTGATTGGGGCCCTTGAAAAAAAGGCTGAACACCCTTGTGGATGGGAGATTTTGGGAGAGAGAAAAAAAAAAAGAAAAAAGATTTGGAAACTTTAGTGCTGGTTTAGATGTATTCAAAATTGGAATATTTTTGAATTACAATTCAAAAATCTTGTAAAACCGACTTTAAATCGTTTGGATAACGGCATGATTTTAAATAAAAATTAAAAATAGGGGGAAATATCATCGTATCATCTATTTTTTATTTTTATTTATCAATAGATCCAAAGATTTAAAATATATCTCCTAGTCTTTGGACTAACTTTTTCAACTTTTAACTATTTTTTTAGTCATAATAAATATTAAAAAAAACATGCTCATTGTAACCCCTTCATCTCTTTTTGTGATATATTCCCCTCAAAATTTTCTCTCTCTCTAACATTCACTCTCTTTGTCTCTCTAATAGGGGAGAGAGAGTGAGAGACATGGGAGAGAGTGGAAAAATAGGTAAAGAGATTTAAGAAAGAATTACATGAAAAGAGAGAAATGATGGTGTTTAGAAATGATGTCTTTTTTATATTTGTTTGGAGTTAAAAAATAGGTTTAAAGAGAATAAAGTTAGCTTAAAGAGTTAAAAAATATAAAACTTAAAATTTTTATGATCCATTTTCAAATTTTGGGTCTTTCGATATATAAAACTTAAAAATAAAAGATATAAAGATATTTTATCTTAAAAATAATATTTTAAAAATAAAATATAATTTTTTTTTATGTCAACGTAATGTGCCCTTGTTTGATTGGGGCCTTGAAAAAAGGCCTGAACGCCCTTCAACACGTGGATGGCAGACTTTGGTAGAGAACAAAAAACAAAAGGGGTTTGGAAACTTTTAGCAACAAAGAAATCCGTGTTTTTCTTCTGGAGACCCAT